GTTGCAAGTAAAGTAGCCTAATGTTTTCTGCAAATGCCTGGAAATAATGAAAAAGTTTTAAGTTCTGATTTGCGGCAGGTTCCTTGTCTTCTTGACTGACCGACTTTTTGGACTAGTTTTTTAAGTTTTTAAGCTGTTACTTTTGAGAAGCTTAAATAGTTATATCGAATCTTTAAATTAATTTATGAATTGGCCAGATTTCTTCATGTTTAGGTTAATATTTTCATCTACAGAAAGATATCTCGTTGAGGAAAAGGTATTGTTGGTCGGAACCAATCATATTTCTTTCAGGATACTTCCTCACAAAGCTCTTTTCGTTGGTCTATTGAACAAATGGCTAGGCTTCATCCCGTTGATATTGATGAGTCGCAGAGCGACATTGTCGAATCACCGTAGATGTTTGAACTTAGATTTCTGCTTCTTTAATTTCAGATGCTTTTTTGGTATTTAATTTGAATTGTTTTAGAGACTCAGCTTTAGAGGCTCGTCTGAATAGTGCAATTGAAAAATTTTGGAGTAGTCAAAAATTCGTTGTTCCGTCTCCTGATACAAATATGGTAGATAATTTATTAGTATCTGGTTTTAGTTTCACCATGTCTGTAAATTTTTTGGGCAGAAGTGGGAGTGATAGACATGTAGTTCTGGTTCGATAATTGACCCTATTCTTTACAATTTTTTTCAAGCCAGTTGGTCGCTGCTTCTCACACTTAATTAGAACTCTACTAACAACAAAATAATCTACATCCGTTATTTCCGCTTCAGTTTGAGGACGCATTGGTAGTTTTATTTTTTCATTTATGTTTAGGTTAAATCGCCATGTGGTCTTGGAGACAGTGGTAATCGTTATAAGCAAGCATCTCATTCTGAGCACCGTTTTGGTGAAGGTCGGGGAACTAACAGAGATGTACTGACATGCTTCTTCCTTTTTAAAGGACTGATTCATTCTGAAGTTGAGAAGGATGTGTAGGAAGTATTTTTTACATAATTAGATTTTTTTAGAAGAAGTATGAAGAGTCACCGCTTGTACGTGGTGGGGCCCGTCCGGCAGGTTTAAGGAAGCATAAGGAGATTCAGACGCTTCTTACTTTTCCTCCGAGTCTAGATCTTGTCAAACTTTTGGGTAGTTTTTTGCATAGAATTTTCAATTTTGCTTTTAACATCTAAGGTAATATGTTGAATTTATTTGTGTATGCTGAGTACCTGTGGTAAAGAACTGTTGATGCGTTTGTTTCCGATGATTGCTTTATAGGAAGAGTATAATGATTTTGTTCAGGTGGCAGGTTTCAGTATGATGAAGAAGAGGGGGGAGCTGAAGAAGCTGCGTTTGAAGCAAATCTTTCGATCAATACTTTGCGCAGGAAGCTTTTTACAGAAGAAAGTGAACCTTCATTTACTGGGAGAGACCTGAATATTGATTTTGAAAGTGGTTCTAGTCAAAGGGCGGCCTCAAAGTCGCGGGTAATTTGTTTGTTTGTTTTTTTTTTTTCAAAATAATTTGATTGAGATATTTAAATGAGTGTTTTTACAGTGAAGCTTTTTATGTTTCTTGTTTCTGAGTACTATAAACTGCTGTATCGTCGTCTACATCTGGTTGGTTGTGGGAGTTTGTTTCATGGCTTGATAGTGTTTATTTAAGTAAGTTTTTTCAGTTACGCAGTTCTTCACCTAGCTCTTGTGACATTTCGCTGAGGTCATTCAGTGACTCCGCTTCTGTTGGAGAATCGCTTGATAGCGATTATTCTAGAGAAGGAGAAAATGATCATTTAAGTAATCGTAAAGGACAGCGTCGCATGCCGTCCCCTGACGTTTCTCCCATAAAAGCTGACTTTTAGTGCTTTGGACAACTGTTCTGTGGTGTTTTCTTTCATGGGTACTTTCACTACATTCCGCTTTTACAAATTTCGCTCCGATGGTATATTTACTATCTGGCGATTTCACTTTCTATTTTTCCTTTTTTTTCTGGCAATCGGTTTATTGATGAGAAATATGTTGCGCTACATCCTGCATATCCTGTGGATATTTATACTGTTGCCATTTGTTTTTTACTACACTATCTCCAGAATGTAACATATGATATTAGCTGTAAACTCCCATCGCGCAGTTTTAGCTCGTTGGCTTTAGATAATTTTTGATTGAGGTTTTCGAGAAAATAGTTGTCATTTTTTTGAAATTGATCTAAAGTAGTAGGTTCAGTAGAGGTGCCTTCAGAACACGCATTGCTGTGGAGCTATAACTAAACATTTCTGGTCAGTTGTAATTTGTCTTTCCTTGTGGGAACCGGAATTGGCGTAAGAAAAGAAGTTATGAGATCGGCAATTTCCCAAGTTTTATTTCGTTGTTTTTGGTAATATTTTTGTAGTTGGGTAGTTGCTAATGCTTATTTTTCCTTTCTTGTAAAATTCGTTCTCCTCAAACCGTCGGTCTTGTTAATGTGCGCAGCAATTCACTTACTGGTACGAAGTGAAATGAAGCATACACTATGCTTGTTAACATTAAGAGTAACTTATGATATCTCTGCTTCCCACTGAAAATCAGAGTCTTAAGGGTACCTTCAGACGAGTAGGGAACATAATATCTTTTCTACTCCGCTTATCTCGTAAGGAAGTATTGCTAAGTTTGAGTAACGGGAACAAGCCTTTACCGATCTGCAAATCAAATTCGCACTTTCTCACCGCCTCGCGGTAAGCTCTACAGTGAAGATGGGAAGAGTATGTGAGATATGTCACTACAAACCCCAGAAACTGGGTCATTTGTTAGGCAGAGGTGGTCAGCCGTTGCACCTGGAAAATCAATTGGAACTGCTAGGGGAAGGGGTAGAACAGCGGCATTGTGCACCGCTGATTAGGTTCTGTAGGCTCCCAGTAAGATACAGTGGTAACCGTAATTGCTGGGCAGCTCGGAGTGTGTAGTTGGTAAAACGCTTTTGGGTCACTCTTGTAGGTTAAAATGGTATGGTTTTAACGTCCTGGAACAACTGACATAAAAATGAAAATTTTTCCGCAGGCACTTGAAACCATTCTCTGCAAAAATCATCTTCAGTTTTAGGCGACAACAGGTGGGTTGCCGACAGGCAAATTTAATTTGTAGACCGTAAGAACTGCTCCAAATGAGCGAGAGATGCTGAGTTCATCCTGTGGCATACAAGGGCTTTATTGCTGTGTTCTGCCAGAAATAGAGATTCGGTGTTTTTGTAAACACGACCAACCACTGGATTAATATAAATGCACAAACGATAACCTTCCTCACTTTAAGTGTACATTAAATTTTAGCATGCTCGCCTGAGTGAACGTATTTGACCACTTTATCATAAATAAGCTTTTGAAATGGTATTCTGAAATATGTCAACACTTAGGACGGATCTGCATGACAAGTAATAGACGCCTAGTCCGCATGTTAGTTTCAACCACAGGCTACACCGATATCTCCTCCCAATTTAGGTATTAAATTACGTTATATTCAACTGAACACCGTTTAAGTTGATGGACAGATTCCTTAGTGTAACTTCTTCTTCCTTCCTGCGCGCCTCGGACGATCACGGTTAAATATACGCCTATCAAATGAACGACAAGACGCGATCTGTGACGGGTTAGTCATATCATTTTGGCTGTGTAAGGTGATATAAGCCAAGTCGTTTCCAGCACTGCAACGGAAATTTTCATTTGCAAAGTCACCTTTATCTGTTCTGCAACGCTTTTCGAAAACCAAGCAAATTTAATGGTAAAATGGCCCAGCAACAATAGTGTTCAGAGCGTAACAAACCTCCTGCTTAAACGCTTAGGACTAGCATCGGGTTTTGCTGAAGTTCCACAAGCATGGCTGACCATACAGTACTGGATGCCATGAGCATTTGCTTTCAAGTTCTTCAAGTTGTTTTTCTAAAATAATTCCTTATCCAATTAAGAAGTCACGGAAGATAAGAAAACTATTCACTATTACTCAGTCTTATGTGAATCAAATTGCTGAAAATGATTTGGGAATAGAATTAGTTTTTACATTAGTTTTTCTGTATTCCCAGCAGCAAGCGACTGCTAGGAAATAATCCCATAACAAAACACGGAATGACCGCCTCGACTTGCAAAAAAAAAGAAATCCATAACCCCCGTTACACAACGTGAACCTTCCCAACCTCAGTCTGATACATGTAATATTCATCAAACTCACTGGACAATTAGCCCACTCAGTAATATTATATATAATCCCGTCCAAGCAAGCATAATACGTCCACCACATCCCCAAAAATGTTGACTCGGCCCATATATCGTTCTGAAATTCCACATGGTCACCAAACTCTCGAATCAAGACATCAAGCTTTTTTACAAACGGCAATATTCATAATCCATAAACACAACTGTCCACTTAACACAAAAAAATTCCATTCTTTGTGCTCACATGTTTAGCTGCATGACGTAAATTGCATCTTTTGCAAAACCTAGCCTGCTGTGGGCTAAGATTCTTCATCGCAACGCGCCAGTGTCTCCTACCACAATCGCAAGGCAGTGAATTTTTTGTCTCCTCAAATTTATCGTACAAGTGTTTCCAAAGCTCTTCTAGTTTTTTTCCCTTAAATATTCTGATGGAAAAAGAAAAATACAAAGCTAAAAATGAAGAAAGTCGAAAACCGTAAAAAGCAGGAAATTTAATAAACTCTTTTTATTACTCTGCACAATATCTCATAAACAGCAAGAATAAGATAAAATGGAAATCCGTCTTACTAATACTCCGAAAAAGAAAACATCTGAAATTTAAAACAGTACCGTTGGGCTGTCTAGACGCGTGTTATTGTAATTTTCTCTTAAATCGCGAGTTTCAATAGTTTCAAATGCTTTAGATAGCAGTTCAAAAGCTTCAGCTGCACTTTCCGAAAGGTACTGCAAGAAATGGATATTGTAGAATCAGGAAATATCCCGCAAAACAAAGTATCGTCTTTCAGTGCTGGGCAAAAAAAAAAAAAAAAAAAAAAAAAAAAAAAAA